CCCCCCCCCCCCCCAAACAGGATCACATCGAGGACTCTCACACCACGGATGAAAACGAATCGTTTAAGCCCAGACAGCATCAGAGAGCTCAACCACGTTTGTGCCTCACAAGTGGCGCAGGGCACAGCACACAGCACACAGCGCACAGGACACAGCGCACAGCACAAGGCGCAACGCAGACAGCGCAACGGAGACAACGCAAAGCACACAGCACACGCGCGAAGCACACAGCGCACGTACACAGCGCACGTACACAGCGCACAGCGCATAGCGAACAGAACCCCCAACAACTGCGTGACCAACAACAATGACTCAAATGGTAATTTCCCCGCAAGATACCGGATCCTTGCTGTTCAGGCCGTCGACGGTGATGACCGTTCGGCGAGGGTTGCCGGTCTGGCTCAGGACCTTGACCCCCTCCATCAGAGCCTTTTGAGTCCGCGGGGGGGAGGCGGGGACGACAAGGGTATGATGGGAAGAAACGTGACGATTCTTCCAGTGCTTTGGTGGTGACCGATGGATGGGGACAAATGTTTTCGGGCGTTGTTTTTCGTGTAGCTCAGAGTTCCGTGGCACCACTCGGGTTATCCTCCAAGTCCCACGTTAGGGGGGAAGACATACCGAAAATATGTTCCTCGTTCATTCGTGCACATCTAAGCGACATCAGTGCAAGGTGCCGCATCGCCATCTTCTTTCTGATGGACGCAGCGGGAGATGAGTACACGCCTAGCTGTGTCCTGACTGCCCTTCATCGATCTCTTGGGCGTGTCGGAGACTAACAAAAATGCAACATATGTCAAAAACGAAAGGTATCGGCAGTCGCACGGTAGGGCTCGTAGGATGCTCCTCTATCTATGCGCGGCGACATGAATCCTCAAAAGCCAGCGGCGAGTCGAGACCTCGCCTCTCTCTAACCACCGCCAGACAGACGTTGTTCTCTCGGGCAGAACGTGAGGTCGTATGCATATCTACGAAAACCTTTGCCAAGAGAGAACAACAGTATGATTCACACAAGCCACAACCAGTAAGAACAACCAACAACAGCAGCGGTACAGCAACGGCAGCAGCGGCGGCGGCGGCAGCAGCAGCAGCAGCAGCAGCTCACCTCGTCTATGGGCGTGCGGTCGATGTATCGCCGCACGGCCTTGGCGGCGAGGTGGGTGGTCTCCTCGGCGGCGCGAGCGTCACCGTCAACGACCGAGCTGGGGAACAGGAAGATGCAGTCGGCGTACCTGAACATCCGGGCAAGGGCGGAAAAGACATGTATGCCACACCAAACGGGACGAATGAGAACCAGAATTAAAAAACCACGACTGACTAAAAGGAAAAGGAACCGCGAGCAAGCCGGAAAAAAAAAGAAGGCGACGCGTCAAAAAAACAAACAGCAGGAGGCGGGACGCGTTCGAAGTGTGACAAATGTACTATTATACACGCTATTTCTGACAAGCTTTTCGGCAACGCGAATCGGCCCGCCCGCGGCCCAATCGGCGAGGGGAACGAAGGCAAACGTAGGTAGCACATGGTAAGGCAGCCCGTGTGGCTGCAAGCCGGCCAAACAGACTGGCGGCCGGCAGCAACGACAAAGAAAGGCCATGCTTGATAAAGCAAAAATTTCTCTCGAAAGCGTCGAGACAAAAGTGACCAATCAAGAAAAAACGAACACGGGACAAACAAACGCTGCTCTGGCTAAAAAAACGTGCACCTGGTCCAAACAAGAACAATCGTCGTCGGGTACACAAGGAAGTACATTCGTTGCTTCTATTCCAGCCAAAATGAAGCAAAGTATAGAACTAAAGGAACGCATCCGAACGAAGGAGAACAAACTTACTCGGCACAGACAGCGGCCATATCCCTGGGGTTGGTCACGCTGCCCCGGAAGTAGATAACTCTGGACCGGTACTTGGGCTGGCGGCACAGGGCAGTGATCTCCTCGCTCGGGGATGCGGGCGCCATGATGATAACCCACACCGACACGTTGATAGACTTCTGGTCCTGCGGAAGTGCATCAGAGGTGGGGGCGGGGGCGGGGGCGGGGGAGGGACGTGCCCAAATTTCGCATGCCTTAGCGGTTAGACTGCGTGCTCGAGAGGACGGAGCGTTTTTCCCACAGGACGGACCGATCACCGACGGCCAATCGATCCTTGCTACCTTGCCAAAGGCGGCTCCACCATGTTTTCCCTTCTCTGTCTCTCCTATCGATATCACTTCCCGCCTTTTCAGGCCCCTTCCTACGCCCGAGACGGTCGGGGGGGTAAATCTTGCCGCCTACAAGGATACGCTCGTGGTCATTCGATGATCGAGAGTGTAGTACGTGTACAAGAGGACAGAGGCGGCGAAGGCGGAGGGAGTCCGTCGTCTGGGGGGCCGGGGGAGAGATGGTCGACAATGGTGAGCCTTACACGAGGTCTTTGATTGACCTGTGGCAAACAACAGAGCGCGCCAGAGAGGAAGGGAGACAAGAGCAGCGGTGCGAACGAGCCGCGGCCGCCGCCGCCACTCTACGCGATGGAGTAACTACCTCTCTCTTACCGAAACAAGTGTTAGTCCCCTCTTCCCACCCACCCCCTTCCTACCGACTAGCAGCCGGTCCGCACGCACGTCGCCCCCGTTCCTACCCACACAGTCTTAGTACTAGCAGCCAGTCCACGCACATCGTCGAAGAACTCAGCCACGCATCTCTCCAGCATGTCGGGGTCGAACTCGCTGTCCGCGCTGTCCTCGCCCGACATGGCCAGCACGACGTGCAGATGCTTGCCGACGAGGGAGTGCGGGAAACCGGCGCGAAACTTGGGCCTCGCGTTGACAGCGTCCACCAGCTCGCCCACCTCCAGCGGGATGTACGTAAGCGCGAAGATGATGACGCACACCTGCGTGCATGTGCGTTTGGACCGCCCCGCGTGAAGCCGACGGCGGTACTGTCTCGGGAGGGCGGTTTCGGCGATTCCCTAACCTCAACACTACCCCTTCGTGCACCTCACACCGCTTGCCACTTGTCCGCAATACCTGTCGCACACCATGGACATGCCTTACGTACGTCCTGTTTTGCCTCTGTCCCATACATGCGTGCTCTATACTATTCTCCCCCCAGAATACAGCCCAGGGAGATACACGTCTCCCCCCCCGTTCCCTTTCTGTCTCACGCTCTTACCATCAGCAGACGGCTCACGACGCTGATGGGCAGGACATCACCGTATCTGCACCGCAAACAAGCACCGCGAAGAAACACAAAAGAGAAAGATGAATATAAACATAAAACGGGCTAGAGGAAGAGAGAACGAGACCGCGCAAGGGTTACTGTAGGCACAGAGAGAAAAAAAGTCAAACAACACAACGAGCAACCCGCCCAAAGAAAGAGACTGACACACCAGACAAAACCCACAACAGCGAGGTATGCAGATAACCCAGGAGGGTGGACAATGCTTTTAACGGAACGACAAGTCGTGGGCGTCGGCAAGCGGTCGGCAAGCGGGGGTTCCGTAAGTGTGTGTCTATCGAAAGCGGGTAGGTGGTGGTGGCGCTAGCTTCACTTGGAGGTTGCTTCGGCGAAGATTTAACAGGGAGAGGGAACGGTCCTCTGCATTGATCCTCTGACAATTCCCACTTACCCATTCCCCAATCAAACCGAATCCCCCCCCGCCTTTCGCGTTCGCCCATTTGCCTGGGGGTCTTGCCTATGACCGCAGTCCCACTGACGAAGAAGAAGAAAGCCCCCCCCCCCCTCCCGCCGCCAATTTTTCGATCGGCTTACCCGACAGTGGACAGCGTGACGATTGTGAAGTAGAAGGCGTCGTGCCACTGCCACCCCGGCTCGTTGAAAGCCCCCGTCCCCTCGGCATCCGTGGGCCCCCGCTCCACGCCGTACAGAATCGCTGATGTCATCATCACCACCCCAATGACCTGGGGTCGAGGGTTCGTTGGCAGGTCGGGAGGGGAGTTTTTTTTTTTTCTTCCTTCACTTAATATCGACCCGGAGCGGGAGATAGGCGGAGGTATTACTCTCACGACTCTACCGCCTTGCGCATACGATTGTAGCAGCAGTCGTCGTGTGGTTAAACCGGCCCAAAGAGTGGGAAATCCCCCCCCCCCCGCGACACGCATGTTATTGATGGGGTCGAGGTGAGGCCAAGCCACGCCCGCGTACTTCACATCCATGGCAAAACATGCCGTAGTATAAGCAGAAGGTGTTATAGCTGTCGTTACGGTAGTTGTTGTCATAACTCGATCCAGAGTCTCGGCACGGATCCTTCCCGCACGCACAGAGCAGTATATGCAGCTCCACACGCCTCTCCAGTAGGCAGCGGAATCAGCACGGCGTTCTTTCGCTATGCCCCGCTCGTTGGTTGTACCAAACACACGGTCATCATGACAAAAAAAAACACGTCGTCGCAGCCGGCCTTCCCGCAAGGCGTTTTCTCTCTCTCTCTCACACACACCGTGCTCAAAACAAAAACAAAAGCAGCCTGCAGAAAAATACGACGAGAGAATACTTGCGCGCCCATCAACAATCGACGGTTCACCTTTACGATCAGCAAGGTCGCCTTGATGGTGACGTCATCATTTGGGAATATGCTCGCCAGCAGCTTGTGGTTGCGCATGACGCGTATGGCTTTTCCAACTCGGAGGTACCTTGTCAGCAAGTGGCGGGGTCGGCGAAAATATCAAACCCAGGGGGTGACGAGGCTAAGAAAACAAGGCATCGTCCGCGGAAGTTGGCGTTTCTTGCGGGTGTGTCGGGGTGGGTGGGAAAGACATAGGTGGCTTGGCAGGGCGCGTTTCGCTGCAGCTCGTGCTGACAGTGCTGGCAAAAAAGGCTGTTACTGCTGTAAACCAACCCCAAACAGTCCAACCGAAACGATCCAAACCACCAAGACAGCACCAACAACAAAGACGGAGACGAAAAAAAACTGAAACACCAACGACAACACCAAAAACATCTGACAACAGCATGCGAGGTACCAGCAAGCGAAGGTAGGCCATCCACCACGACTGGCATAGGAGGGGCACAACAAAACATAGTTGAAACCACAGCAGCCAGCAACGCACTCAACTACAGGCCGAGCAGCAACTATTACCCCCGATCAAACATCCAACCTGACGAAGGATAGCGAAGCCATCCATGGCTGGAAGGACCCGAAGGCTGGGAGACAGCTGACGAGGTCGATGAGCCCACCCTTGCCCAGAGCGTACGCCAAAGGCACCTGTGGTCGCGTGGTCAAGCCGGTTTTTTGGGTAAAAAAAGGCTTTGTGCGCGAGGACGTCATGGGAGGAAAGGAACCAGCGCGTGCCCCTAGCACGCTGAGTGCAAATGGAAACAAACAGTGCCGGAGCTGGGCACACGATGACGCAGGGACATAATGCAACTGGGTTCCCACGAAGCCCCCCCCAGCAAAAAAAAAGGGGGGGGAAGACCAACCGCGCATGGTACGTGTGGTATCTGTCTATTGCACATCAATGCACGCCGAAGGGCATGCCAAAGGCAAGGGAACACAAGGAATTTTCACATCACACCATAAACAAGCCGTAGTCTACACCTGAAGTTCTACACTCACGATCTTCACGACACGCTTGCCGAAAGAGCAAACAACCGGACAAACAACATGCGTAGCAGCAGTCAGCAGTCGGTGTCACGCCCCATGGACGAGGAGAAAGCGAGGTCAGCATCACTGCACCAGACCGATCTACAGCAGTCGTAGCCGTGGTGGTGCTAGTGGTAATGGTCCCTTTCAAAGGCGGGCCTCCCAAAATTACGGCGCTCCGTGTAAGACTGATGAAAAAGTCCGCCACAACGCCTGTGCCCGCCGAAAATTGCAAGTTCATGGCGCTTGGCAGGTAGCCGTGGTGTAGAGGGATGACACTTACGGGGAAGGATGAGAGGAATTTCAGTCAGGCAGAGAGAAAGAGAGCACCGCGTGCTACTAAAATTACGCTTACCGACGCGGCAAAAGGAAGAAAAACACAAACGAAGTACAACGCAAGCGTGCATGCTCAGGACACTTACAGGCGCTGCCGCGGCGGTGAGAGAGTAGTCCACGAGGAACAGGATCCCGAAGCTGGTCTCGATGTGGCCGACCCAGGGCCGGTCGTGGACGTAAGTCGCCAAGATATAGAACAGGCAGGAAGACAGCGTCGCCAGAGACAGGAGCAGCATGCACACTGTTCACCGCCGGAGAGAGCACAAGAGCAAAAAAATGTCCATTAGGACCAACGACGACGATATATCAGTGTAGCGTTCCGAGTTGCGCACCTTTGTTGCCCCGTGGTGGTTGTACGTCGCTGTGGATTGGGAAACCGCGCATGGCTGACGAGCAGCAGCAGCAGCAACAGACAACCACTGCTGGCGACCCCTACCCCAAAGCCCCGGTCGTCGCCCATTAGGCAGAACACCGAGGGGGTTGGCCCAACGCGTAGTTGCATTGAGAGTAGGGTTCCTCCCTCCCCCGACCTACAGGGCGGGTCTTGATTTCCCTGAGAGCCAAAAAGATATTCACCGTGTGTGCACTACTTGCGCGCCCGCGGCCGGTGGTCGGGTTTGGTCTAGCCCCTCGTTCCACTCACCGGTTGTCGAGCGTCCCCGCGGTCCAACGCGCTGAATGAAATACTTCAGGCGGCAAGGCACGAGAAGCATTTTCTCTGTTCCAGAACGTTTCCATCGCACGTCAAATAAGTGACACACACAACTACGCAAACGCCCGTCTGTCTTGAGTGGATTACATATCATCCTCAAGGACAAAACAGACAGAAAAAAAAAAGGAGCAGCAACGAAAACCAGAGCACTCACACACACCGCCGCCTGGGACAGCAAAAAACACGAGCTGACCACCGGCCGACTACACTTGGTTGTCACGAAAGTACTTCTGTCTTCGGACGTAACTCCTGCCGTAAACAAAACATTCATCGACTGGCGCCGAAAACGGCCATCGCCGCCCGTGCGCTCAGCCACAGCCAGTCTATCCCCCCCCACCTGGATACCTCCCCCCAAAAAATAAACACCCACGCACACATCCGCTTGCTTGTCCTGGGAGCAGCACGTCCTCATGACCCATGTTCATTGAATCCGGAAGACCTTGGCCATATCGCGAACAAACCCCCCTCCTCTGCTGGCCCCACATACCTCTTGATGTCGTGTAGACGAGGCCTGCCCTCTTGACCCGACTCGTCATCGATTTCGCCGCCCATTTTGGGCCCGCGTTGTGCATGAGCGCCCTGCGTGAGGTGATGCGGTGACTCTGCTGGCTCGGTTTCCGCGCGTTAGGGTCCTGCTGGTTTCGATGCAAAAAAAAAAGTTGTCCGTATTTAGCGGCGCCGTCTGCTCACATTCTACAACAACGTGTGGTGTTGGTTCACTACGTCATGATGCACACAAGCCACGACAGCAACTTTCTTCCTACTCACTTCAAAGACTTCAACACATTCCACACCACTGTGGTATTACCGTAAGGCTGCGAGTCAGCTAGAGCACAGGGGTGCGATCGATTTTCAAAGCGTAATTTCTCCGCAACCAGGAGGGTGCGAGCGCCAACTGATACTTCTCAGGAAAGCTTTCGATGAGACATTTCCAAAACCGCCCTTTTCGACAGCGGTAAACTCCTGATTGTGAAGAAAAAACGCTTTGAAAGTCGTTCGCACCCCTGTGCGCTGACTCGCAAACTCACGGTATCTCCAAAAGGTGGTATTTCCGCGATGGTATGTATGGTTTCAAGAAAACGATAGAGTTCAAAGAGAGGCAGAAGGCGGGCTACAAGGGGGACGCCGATACTTGTGGATACGGCCGTCTAGCCGTGAGGCCGTGTGAACCGGGGCTGCTGTGTCTCGGATGTCCCGTTCGTCGCGGTCCTAACCCTCTGACCCTATCCCGCTCGCGCGGTGCAATGAACACCACATGCACACAGAGAGACACGGACGCCCAATTTCATTACCCGTGCACACAGTCAAGACGTCGTGTGAGAGCAACGCCCCCCTACCACAGCAAAGCTCAAAAGGGCCAAGCACCGCCGAAAGAGTGATGGCGACCTTGTTTTACGCCCGGTGGAGTAGTCTAATACATGCGCCCACCGAAAAACAGGCTAGATGGAAAAACTCATGGGACGCATGCACTTGTTTGAAGGAGGCCTTCTTGCATTCTAGTCCAGCTGCGATTGGTGTATCTTCTTCGATCGGCGGGTTCAGGGGAAAGCAGCGGTTATTTGCCGCTGATCGACTGTGTAGTGCGATCGATGCTAAAAAACAGAGAAAAAGGAACAGAACCGCAAAAACGCCCAACAAATGCGCGCCAACGGAATTCACGACCCTGCCGAGGAGCCGTTCCACCCGCATTTCATCACCACGCACACGGTGAGGCATGGAGACCCAGTCATCTCTCCGACTGTCTCAAATCAGGCCGACGAAACGGTCATACGAACATGCTTGAATGTCGTATTTTGATAACCTTAAAAATGGGCCAAGATTGTTGTGTATGCTCTTCACGGGCACTCGCTGCTGTCACCCAGAGGTGACCTGCCTCAACCATAGCAGAGCGGTGCTTCACATTCTTTACTTCTATGTAGTAGAGAACGCACGCCCTGCAGCTACAGCTTCGCCTGGTGTTGCGTATCGTAGCGCGGTGTACGGTTTGGTACGGGAGTCGCACTGACACCTCTTCGATGTCCTGATAGAGAGGTTACACATTTCGAGCAACCATTCTCTGCCACGGGAGGTAGTGGTGACGTAGGTTATGCACACAAGTATTTTCTCCGGAGTGGGCCTATGAGTGCACAGTGCCATCAAGGTGTGATGCAAGATGGCAACCAAAGCAGGTGTAGCAGGACCAGCCCGCAGCTGGCAGTTGGCTGCCAGTTGGTTGTGACGTTCCCCAACTCAACAACTGACGTATTAGCTGACATTTTGTTTGACTCGAAGAGCCCAGCGAACCACAACGAACCATGTCACAAATCTGTATACAGCAGTCTTGCACACCTCAGTTTTCTCCGGCGAGTTGTGTTTTGCTACAGGAAAACGTGATGCTCCATCGTCGCCATACCTCGATTGGATGGTACTGTCCTGCTCTTGCCATACATACTCCTGTTGTGGTATCTCACTTGTTGACACGACAAGGAGGTTCAGCTTGGGGAGTAGGTAGTATGTTCTTGCGCTCATTGTCCTCTGGTTGGCGGTAGACTCGCTGGATCACCCGTGCTACGATTGATTTCAAAGGACGACTTCTTTAATCACTACCCACCTTGATTGACTAATATCCCCCCCCTGTCAACCTCGAGGCAGTTACATAGTGCTTACAACTTTGTCTGGAAGTGAAAGCACCAGAAAATGAACTATGTCATCCGCAGCTGTCATACGTACGCAAGGATGTAAGCAAGGAAGTAAGCACAAGATGCCGAACACCCTTAGCAGGATGCAGCGCGCCCTTCATGCGACTCGTCGAATACCTCACGGCGCTTCGCGCTTGGANTGAGCCACCTTTGGCAAAGTAGAAAGGAACGATTGGCCATCGGTGATCGGTCTTGTGGGAACAATGTTCCGTCCTCTCGAGGACGCGTGGCCAATGGTCTAACCGCTAAGGCATGCAAAACATAAGAGTACGCCCCCCCCCCCGTCTCTGCACCGTTGCACCAACCCGCGACGATCGATGACGACCTTTGCTGTCTCGGATGGCCCGTGTTGTGTTGTTTTGCTTTTTTGTAGCTACGGTGGTGGTGCTGGCTTGTGTCTTTGTCTGTGTCTATCTTCTCTTTTTCCATCCGCCTTTTCTTCATTTATTTCTCTTTCTTTTTCTTCCAGTCTATGGTTACCTCGCATAGCGTGTAGAGGCAAGCGGAGGCTTGTAAGGCAGGCTATCTGTCGTTGATTTCTACGACGTAGTGACTTTCGGACCCTTCGGGTCCATTTTATTTTAGAATACCTTTTCTTGGGCGAGTTAGCCTGTGAACACGGGAATCGACCGCGTCAAGTGTTGGACTAAATAGTACGGACAGAAGAAGGTACTGCGTAGAGAAATCGGAACTGTTATTAACGCGAAGACAACGAAAACAACAACAACCAGTGCCATTCGTTTGTCCAACCAGTGTCACACAGCAGGGCATCGAACCTTCGCCGCACACCAGCCGAAATGATTTGATATGCATGCAAAGATCAAACCCTAGATGAACTTCCTGGAACTGCTGCTGTAGCGTCTCAACATGTAGCTCACAATGCTGTAAGGAAAACGTCGAATTGCTGTCGCAGTGCATCGACACCCAACACGTTCGCACTGCTACTGTTGTAGCATTTGCATCAACACGAAACTCCGCGAAAAAGACTACTATACAGCAGTGGCCTACAGGAATACAGACCAGGCCCAGAGATAAGAAACGTCCAAATCCGGTCGAGCCTCAATTTCCTTACTTTGGGTCGAAGGATCAGACGAAGAAATCCGTTCTCTGAAAAGACCGTGGTGTCATCTTTTTTTGGGCTGTCGGTCGCGTCCAGCTGACTTTCTTCCTGACTTTTTGCTTGTTCGTTGCTGAGAATACACAAACACAGCTCATTTTGAACTCGGACAACCAACGTGTTGAAGCCCTCAAGAGAGAGCTGTCGAACCCGTACAGCAGACAGCACATGGTGGTCCGCGACGTGTGGCAACACTACAGCAGGGAGTAGCGCTGCCAGAGGCGGACGCTGGGGCCCGGGGGGGGGGGGCGCCGCGAAACAAACAATTTCCTCCCTTTGGGCATTCCTTATTGGACACGCTCCCCGGCAAACCCTTGCTGCNGGGGGGGGGGGGGGGGGGGGGGGGGGGGGGGGGGGGGGGGGGGCGCCGCGAAACAAACAATTTCCTCCCTTTGGGCATTCCTTATTGGACACGCTCCCCGGCAAACCCTTGCTGCTAACGTCTTGGGGGTATCGCATGCATGCGACCTTGTCTCTTATCGGCATGTGTCTCGTGTTGTGGCCTCGTAATCTTGCTGACCTCCGGGCCCGTTCCGTGGTCTCCCTGCCGTGCCTGTGACCGAACACTGATGCTGTTAAACTTCTCCAGTTCACGATTTAAGGAAGGGACGACCACCAGCAGGAATGGAGTGCAAAAACAAATTACGAATCTCGACCGCTGCAAATGCTTCGTCTACAGCAGAATGACATGTAGACACGAAGAACAAATCTCGACTGCTGCAAATTTCTAGTCTACAGCAGGATGATACTAGTATGAAGACACAAAGAAGAACTGCTGAAAACGACGGTGAAAGCATCCAGAGTGTTGACGTAGCCCAACGCCAACAGAAAATCGTAGAAAGGACTTTCTGGCAAAAAAAAGGGCCCGATGGCCGCCGACACTTGAGTCGGTAAGAGGGAATAATCATTTTAGCACCAACGCGCGTTGGCGCGCTCAGAGAGGCTGCTTGGGGCTGTGATCTCGAAGGCTGGTGCTGGGTAAATAAGAAAATCCATAAATTCTGGATCCAAACCAATCGTTCGTAATTGCTGCACTCTCCGACATGCATGAGCCCCAGCGCCCCTATCCAACGCGCAGCACAGGAGACTGGGTCCTCCACGGCAAGTGCATCGACGGAAATATGGATGCTTCGGGCCCAGATCTTGCGGGCATATTTGAATCGCTGCTGCAGCCCTCGCACGCCCCTAAAGTAGACGTCAGGGCGCTACAATTGCCTGTACGTAGCCATAACACTGCGCTGTACGGGGATAGAATTGACTACAGCGTACGAAGCTCCTTCGAACCCACCACGTGCGCCGTACCTCGCGATTGTCTTTTGAGACCCGATCGGTCAACGGGTGGGCTATGCGCGAACAAAAAGGACCCAGGCAGGCAGACAGACAGACAGACGGCCCGACGGAAGACGTACCGACAGACAGCGAGCTTGGGCTGTGGGAGTACTTCTACAGTATACAATATAAAAAAAAAACTGTAGTAGCTTAGTGTTGTTCAAGTCGGGACTCAATTAAAGCGCAGAGAACCTTGGTTTAAGCACCCCGCCCGTGTCGCCTTTATTGTCGTTCGTCTTGAAGTTAGAGTTATGGCATATTTCATCTTGGTTTGAGGGAAGGCATGGGGAGGTAGACTGCATGATACCCTCGTGGCGACAACCGTACAAACCACTGCTCTATCACGGCTTCCCTGCGAACACTTGCTACTGATTGCTGGGAACTCTGGTTTGTTCGTATAGTTTTCAATTTCGAAATCAAGATCAACCAACCAGCAGCACCCTTCAACCGCAGATTGCAAAAGTCTAGCCATCCGTGTTGTAGATTTGAACGAATTTTACGCGTTTTCCCTATGTTATACCACACCGGTCGACGCTCGACATGCTGTTCGCCATCCAGCGGCTCCATGCGCTCGCGAAGAAGAGTACTGCGGTGTTCGCGTGCTTCGTCGACCTCACCAAGGCATACGATTCGGTGGACCGAGACCTACTGTGGGACGTGGTCCGACGCTTCGGCGTGCCCCCGAAGATGCTGACGGTCATTCGCCACTTCCACGAGGGCATGAGGGCGCGCGTCCAAACGGACGACGGGCCGTACTCGGAATGGTTCGACGTGGGCCAAGGCCTCCGACAGGGATGCAACCTGGCCCCGCTGCTGTTCAACTTGTTCTTTGCCGCGATGCTCATGGTCGTCGTGGCCGAGTTCGGCAAGGACCCCAAGGTGACGGCGGACATGGTCAAGATCGGGGCACAAGTGGAGTACACGGGCAAGAAGGGCAGGTCGGCGGGGAAGAAGACGGCGGTGGCGACGGACGCGGAGGCCCTGTGGGCCATGCTCTACGCTGACGACGCGGCTATCGTCTCGCGCTCGCCGGAGAGTCTCGAGAAGATGATGTCGGTCATCGTGCGCGTGGCCGGCCTGTTCGGACTGATGGTATCGGAGCCAACGACGGAGATCATGTGCATGCTGCCGAGAGGGATCGAGGAACGCCCGTTCACGGTCAGCGCCGCCGGCCAGACGTACAAGCAGACAGATCGGTTTGTGTACCTCGGACGTACCATCTCCGCGGACGGGAAGGCCGACCGGGAGGTCACGAGCCGCAGCTGCCGAGCGTGGAAGTGCTACTGCCCGAACAGTGCTTCGATGTACGACAGGCGACGGGCCGACCGCCAGCTCATGATCCGGCTACTCCAGGCTGAAGTGGTGGAGACTCCTATATGGGTACGCCGCGTGGAGCCTAACAGCGGAGCACTACACGAAGCTCAATGGGACCCACCGGAGAGCGACTGGGTATCTCGTCTAGGAGAGGAACTCGTGGACTTCAACATGGGAGACGAAAAGGAAGGAGGGAAATGGAAAGAGAGCGCCAAGGACCCGGAGGTGTGATGCAACAAGGTCGAGGACGGGGCGGCATGGCTCATGAGGAAATGGCACAGGCACGAGGCGGAAGCGTCCGCGAAGCGCCAGCGCGCGAGGGAAGCAGAAGCAGCGAGTACGGCCATCTCAGGACCGAAGAGAAAGAGAGTCGGGGAAGCGGCAGTGGAGGGGAAGAAACGGCGACCGGGCACTGCTATAGAAGCGAGTCGGGCGGCCGAGGCAGTACTTATGGCGAACTATGCAAAGGTACCCGGCTGATATTGTTGCGCCCTGTTTTCCTACCTGCTGTATGCTATACTCCTTTGTGTATGTCCTTCGTATTGCCTTCGGCCTCTGTGTTGTGTTGACCTCCCCCCCGGTGTTTGCCGTCGGGGTTGGGTTTTCGTCGCTTGGCAACGACGTTGTAACAAGCCAATTCACTTCGTGACCTCGGCAACCAGGTGACCGTTTTTCTTTTTTTACCCCTGTATTTTTTTTGGCGGTAACCATAGTGGTGGTCGAGTAGGTCATGTTGTGCGGGGTGGACAATCCTCACTCCGCGCGAGGGGGATGACCGCACCACGTTGTGTTAAAATGGTCACGCATCCTCGAGGCAGTTACACAGTGCTTACAACTGTCTCTGGAAGTAAAAGCACCAGAAAAAAAATTAAGTCATACGCAGCTGTCATCTGTACGCAAGGAAGTAAGCACAAGATGCCGAACACCCTTAGCAGGATGCAGCGCACCCATCATGGGACTCGCCGAACATCTCACGGCGCTTCGCGCTTGATGATGTGAGAGCCTGGTCCGGTGAGAACCCGGCGTGCTCCGTCCCGGTTTTGTAGGGATGCTTGATCACTGGTCTAACGACTACGGCGTGCACGACTATGAGTACATCCCCCCGCCCCCCCCTCGGTGTTTGCCATCGGGATTGGGTTTTCGTCGATTGGCAACCACGTTGTGAAACGAGCCAATTCACCTCGTGAACTCGGCAACCAGGTTACCGTTGTGCTTTTTGTTCGCCCCTGTTTCTTTGTTGGCGGTGACCATGGTTGGTGGTTGAGTAGATCATGTTGTGCGGGGTGAAGAACCCTCATTCCGCGCAAGGGGGATGATCGCACCACGTTGTGTTGAAATGGTCAAGCATCCTCGAGGCAGTTACACAGAGCTTACAACTGTCTCTGGAAGTGAAAGCACCAGAAAATAAATTAATTCATACGCAGCTGTCATCCGTACGCAAGGAAGTAAGCACAAGATGCCGAACACCCTTAGCAGGATGCAGCGCACCCTTCATGCGACTCGCCGAATATCTCACGGCGCTTCGCGCTTGGTGATGTGAGAGCCTGGTCCGGTGAGAACCCGGCGTGCTCCGTCCCGGCTTTGTAGGGATGCGAGGTCAATGGTCTAACGACTACGGCATGCACGACTATGAGTACTATGAGTACACCCCCTCCCTGCCTACTCTGCTGTATTGGGTACCTTGATCTCGCTTTTGCTGTTGCTTTTGTTTTTGTACATCTGGCTGTTTGCCCATCTGCCGCCTCTTTGTCCTGTTTGCTCCGTTGCTCCCATGCCCTGGTGCGTAGTGCCTGGTGCTGGTACGTTACCCTTTGATTTTTTCTCTAGGCGGCAGTGGGAAGCGTCCTCCTTCACTATTATTTTTGTTTTATTTTTGATCGGTAGCTGTTAGTTTCTGTTTTAATTTTTTTTTTTTCATATCACACAACAAATCCATCTCTACTTTAGATAGAAGTCTAAGAAACCGCCTAAGATAGATTAACAATGAATCCATAGCGTGAGCGAAAAGCTACCTGTGTATCTACGGTTTCCCAGACATCATTTCGTTTTCTTTTTCCGAGTGGTTTGTACCCTATTTTTGTTTTGTTTCCGCGGCGTCGTAGTATGTGCCGGGTTTTGAGACCACGGGCTCCCCATAATTTGTGGACTTTTAGTCTAAAGAGCTAATGTGAGAAACAACAACAACAACAACAACAACAACAACAACAACAACAACAACAACAACAACAACAACAACAACACACACACACATTTCCTTCCCTGCTGTATGCTATACTCCATTATGTATGTCCTTTGTATTGCCTTCGGCCTCTGTGCTGTGTTCCTTTTTTTCATGACCTCCCTGCCTACTCTGTTGTGTTGGGTACCTTGATCTCGCTTTGCTGTTGCCCTTGTTCTTGTACGTCTGGCTGTCTGCCCATCTGCCGCCTCTTTGTCCTGTTGCTCCGTTACTCACATGCCCTGGTGCGTAGTGCCTGGTGCTGATACGTTACCCTTTGATTTTTTCTTTGGGCGGGTGTGGGAAGCGTCCTCCTTTGTTTGGTTTTTGTTTTATTTTGATCGGTTTCCGAGGGCTCTTTTCTCGAACGGTCGGTGCGGTACCTGTTATTTTCTTTCTATCATTTCGTTTTCTTTTTCCGAGTGGTTTGTACCCTATTTTTGTTTTGTTTCCCCGCGGCGTCGTACGTGCCGGGTTTTGAGACCACGGGCTCCCCATTTTTTGTGGACTATAGAGCTAATGTAGAAACAACAACAACAACAACAACACCTGGGCATTTTCACGCAACATGGCCTTACCTTCCAGCCCGTGCGGCCACTTCTATCCATCATCATCGAGCCCTCCCGCAACCCGCCCCCCTCTCCCCCCCTCCCTTTCTCCGCTGCACAGCTTCCACCCTCCTCCCCCCGCTCTCTTTGGTCACGGCTGTTGTTGTTGATCTCGCTCGGCTCCAGTTCGGTGTTGTTGGCCCGTTGAAGTGGTTCTGGAACCACCTTCACACCGTAGTGTACGATGGGCAGATGTCGTCGTGATCAAATGGTCGATGACAACGGAGGCACGCGGGGCAGAGGAAGTACATGCACAGAAGGCACGCTTGTTGGGGCGTATGATTTATCTACTGCTGTGCAGGCTCGTGTCAATACTGCTACGGGCTGTGGGGAGAACCATCACGCCAAAAATGTTATTCGTTTTCGGTTCAAGCAGGAGCAGGGAATGTGGAATGTTCTGGGGAGCGAGGAGCGAGGGACACGTCACAAAGTCTACTCTATCTTCCATTCGAAAAAACACGCATCCATGCAGCTCCATCCATGAATCGTTCTGGTTCACAAGAGTGCCGAGATCTTCATACACCGTACAGGGCTCTCTTCCGTTCCCCCTTCCTCTCGAACAGCGTTCTACCTGTGGGAACTTGGATATCATGGTTGAGGTCCTCGGCCCTGTCCAACCTTTCAACCTTTGTCATCTGCGCCTTCGCTGATTGGTGTAGACAACGGCGTCCCTGCCTGCCTAGAGGTTTGGTTCGGCATGGAATGTGGAATGATATGGAGACCCCGGTGTCACTGATGGAGTCGTTGTGTCGATGTATGCGCTCTAAACCGTGCCGAGCCTTCGTCGGTGGCACACTGGTTTCGACGGCGTGTGGACGCCTCCCCCACCCACCCCCGTCGCTCTTCGTTGAAAGCGTGATAGAGGCAAACGCAACCTGGAACAAGGGGAAGAAAGCGGAGGCCTAAGGGGGACCCTCTCGGAAGAAACGCCTCGAAAAGTAGGGAGGTGGTGACCCGTACAGTCCCGTAGGAAAACAACCGCAGGAGACAAGCGCACAAGGCACCTCGCACCGCAAGCACCGCCGGAAAGCAGGAACATGCCCGGCATCAAGGTAGAGAGCAGCACGTGTGAGACGAAGAGAAACTTGCGTACGAGGAAGGATTGTCAGACGTACCCTGGCACTGAGATGTATTCCCGAGAGAAGGAGGAGTCTGACCATCGCACGCTGACTGTGGTATCTGTACGCAGCAGTTACTACAGCAGTACAACAAATGAAAGTCTAATTAGTCTAGACTCTAATAATACTGAGCCCTGCTTGCTCGCCAGCAGGCAGGAGACAGGCGGACCTACACATACAGAAGTACCATGCGGAGGGGATGGTCAGCCTCGTCCGAATACGAAGGGATACGCAAGCCTTGTATTTGAATCAATAAGTGTGGAGGTCAGGATATGGAAGTTAGGGGGCATAAATACATGGATGCATGCGTAAAGAGTAGGATCTGAGGGAATATGGGATAATACGTAGATTCCCGTTTCCCTAGGGTCCATGACTCTTGCGATCCCCAACGGCTGCGGATAGTTGATTAATCTTTAGGAGGATGGGAAAATGGGTCCACGAAGGCTCGCCCACTCTCCGCACCACCCTGGCTTGACTGAGTTCGCTCGGTCACGCTCGGCATTCCTCGCCACATCGCACCACAGGACATAGCCAACCTCCGGTGGCAGGTCATAACCACCACACTCCGGACTCTCCGCTCACCCCGAGTTGAGTGCTCCATATTGGCGTTCAACGAAGCGCGCATACAAGGACCCGACGATTTCGGTAGAGAAAAAATATAGCAGTGTACTACAGCAGACATCGCGTGACTGCTGCTGCTGCGGTAGGGAGCACACACTACATGCCGTCGCGGGTGTGGCTCGAAACCGTGGATTGGCCCGCGTTGGAGTTCATCACGGCGGCACCAAGTCCCATTCTTGACCGTACTTGCAGCACTAGAGACAACCGCAGCGTCGTTCCCCATCATGCGTCAATGCTACTGCGCTCCTTCATGTTACAGAACAACGCATACAACAGACTAAGAAGGCGAAAATGCAACAATCGAGCCATTTGTGGGCTGGCACCGGTCGGCAGTTTCAACTCTTTCTCCTGAGATCAGTCCGAGCAGAGAGGCCCTTCTTCGTGAAGTCCGCCTTTAGCTGTTTCGTAGATTCTCTATGTTCGCCTCTCGGACACCTGTCGGACACTCGTCACTCGCGGTTGGGTTCATGCTTCAAACGAGGCGTCAGCAAAACTTCATGGCCGCGTCCTTGCGCACCGAGAACCGCCTCTTCGACACTCAAACAAAGCATCCTCCCCTCTAGCATGCCCAGCAGACCAATCTCGAGCCATTTCTTTGAACGGCGGTGTGAAACAGAGTGGATGGAGCCCCGGCCACCAACACACACACGCACAGCGTAGAAATAACGTATTTTGTTTCGAATGCATAACACCCCCATACTCTCCCTTCTTCCCCTCGCTCCTCGACAAGCTTTTGCTTAGACATGGGTTGTAGTGAAGGGGGGGGTGTTTCTGGCGAGCAGGGCTAGACTCACCCTCAAGGGATGACCGAAACCTTCTTGCTGCT